ATTGTACAGTGGCATTAAGTGCCGTAATGTGCACCTCTGCCTACCCCTTCGGGGATAAAAAGGCGTGATGTTATGTTATGCTCCATGTAAAAGGAGGTGAGCTTATTGCTACTGCATAATTCCAGACTCCGTGCTAGTATTTAGATTTTTTAAAAAGCCAGTAGTACTTTTCTTCGACACGGGGATCGAACCCGAAACCCCTTGCCTGGCAGTCGCAATTGCGACCACTTGGCCAACGAGGTTGCTAAATTAAAATTTAAAATAAAATATTCCAAATCAAATTCATGAAACAAGTGATTGAAAAAATTTGTTTCTTCAAATAGGCTACAAGGTAGTACTTTTACACGTCAATTTTTCAAGCAAATGATGAATATCATTTCGTAACTGACTACTCTGAGAAGAAATGCCGAAACAAACTCAGAGGTCCGTCTCTTACAATGTCAACTAACGAGAATCAAATGTAGCTTTACGTAATTTCTCTTTTTTATTTCATCCGTTTACCATATTCTGATATACCGAGGTTATCCACCCGATCGAAAAGTAAGTTGAATAACATTTAGCCACCATGTTCCCATAAGGGGTAAGAACACAATGGGACGTCAAATGTCACGGTTCTGGCATAAAAGACATTGTTATGGATATAATAAAAATATATTGAATGGGTTACATTGCAACATAATAAAGACGGAACCATATTTCTGTGGCCCGAGTGAAAAAGGGTATAAGTCCAGTGCTGTCACAAATGCGTCAATTGTACCAAAATGATCAGAAAAACATGGTTCATTATTTAAACTGCTTACGTATAAAAATATCGCATAGGCTCACCCCCTATTACATGGGACTCATAACATAATAGTGAAAAGTGGGTGTTACTTCTATGTGCACCTCTGCCTACCCCTTCGGGGATAAAAGGCGTGATGTTATGTTTATGTGTATTTTATTCAGTGGCAGTTTAAATGACAAACGATACGAGGGCAAACACTCATTTAAAGCACACGGAACGTTTTTGGCGTCTTCTGTAAAGTTGTCTTTTTCGACTTAGATCCTTCTTTACTAGAGCCACAGATTCATCCAATACTGTGCCATGCTCTAATTTATTGCTTGGTCATGTGTCATACAAATTATCTAAAAGTTGCGGGTTAATCACGTGAAAATACTGAGAAAAGCTCTACTTGTTTCGAATAACAGAGGGGTTTTCCTCATGAGCAGCATAAGCAGTCGCGGCGATGTCGCGGAGCCTACTGGTTATTATAAAAATACGAGCGAATTTAAATTCTGGGCACTTTTTTATTTTATATTTAGTAGGTCAGTCAAAACCTAACACGCCTAAGCGATGATAATATGGCTGACGATGGAGCACACCTACCTATATAATAGACCTATTCACTCGAGACTTGAAGATACTTTTTATAAATGTGTTAAGTACTCATAAATAAAAATAATTTAAGCTAAAACTTGGGGTCACAGGTGTAAACCCTTGAGGTGTTTCCTCGACGGTCTCTTGGGTCTAAAATCAGATCGAATTCAGACTTTTATAAAATTATAGTGGTTTTTATTAGTAGTAAACGCACAGTCGATACGATTTATGCAAGTTCCCCTCGGTTTCCATGGTAATCCATCATCAGATGCTTACCTGGTGGAAATGGGACCACCTCATGAAAATAACTTTTCCAACAAAAACAAATCATTCAAATCTGGCCATAAACGACGGAGTAATTGCGTAATGCATACAAAAAAAAATACAATCGAATTGATAACCTTCTCCTTTTTGGGAAGTCGGTTAAAATTAATCCCTATTTCATTCCATAATTGAAACGTAATATTTGTACTAAACTAAAACTAATGCATTAATTAATGTGTAATGCGATTATTAAAGGTAATTAGCCAAATGATCAGCTTGCATTTTGCAAATTTCAATAAGCCAATTATAATAATGCATTCGTGTTTATTATTTTAACACGTACCTATTTATTATTTTAGTATAGATTTTATGATTGGTGCTGCTATTGCGAAATATACTTTTTATTGATGAATTAAACTTGTAATAAGGTTTAAACGTAAAGTTTCTACAATATTATAGATAGGCTTTTTTTGAAGGAGGATAATCATCCAATGACTTCTCCCGCCCGGGTGAAGCGGGAGGTAGAGTCAGACTCTTACTGACTAAAAACCACCCCGCTCTTACTCCTGCTCTTTGAGCCGGAGCCCCGGCAACCGAACGGAGTATCGGCATCAGCTCTGTTGGGCCCCATCTGTGGAGGTCTGCGCGACAACTCCGCGACCGGGCACGCTGCTAATGAGGAAGACCCCTCTGTGGCTCGAAACTAGTAGAGCTCACCTCAGTATATTCACATGAGTAACCCGTGATTTTTAGTTAATTTAATATTATAGGTATACAGGTATTCTCCAATGGAGTTCTATGAATAATTTCATTTACTCAAAAGTGCAAATCGAACACGAATAAACACTACATTTTAAAAACCATTGGTAAACAGGTTACATTAAGGCGATTGAAACACACTCCTAAGTCTTGAACACTTAAAAGGTAAAATGTTGTGAAAACAACTTTCAAATAGAAGCCATTTTCGCTTGACACAAAGTGCAACGATTAGTAGTAGATGGTAAATAAATATATTTATTTTCACACAATAGTGCACTCTAAACGATTCCCTAACATAATACACGTGCCACAACAGGATTTGTTTACCTTTTCTGAAACCTTTTAGATGCAAAATATATTAGTAAAAGGAATATTAGATAGTAGAGGTAGTAATAGTAGATAGTAGATACTAACCTAATAAATAAACGTTTTATTTGTGAAAAATGGCGAAAAATAATATACAATTATTTTATACGTACACCATAAAAAGCCTTGGAATAAGAATAGGATCTACAAAATGGACTGAATTTTTTATCATGGCGGCACATGGTATTATACCTCTATGTATTCATAAGATGTCCCGATTTACTACATTTTATAGGGTACCGTGACGCCAATACCTCCTTAGATACGTTTCCTGTTTTCTTGTATGACAAAATACGTATCTAAAATTTTCTCACTATCCAACTGACGGA